TTTTTTAAGATTTTCTCCTAAATCGGCGAGTTATGAGCTACTTTTAGCCTTAAGATGTTTTGTGAATATTGGCCCAGGTGTACATTTTTTTCGTACCAAAAATATTAACATTTCATGAATTCAAAAGTTTACATCAGAATAGCTTTACGAACAATTTACACTAAAATTCGTTTTGCTAACGCTTCATGAACGGGGCCATGTTTATATATTAACTGCTTTGCGTTATGTAGTCAAATAATTTGGTATATAAATGGGTGCCATGTAGTGCCAAAAGAGGCTCTCCTATGATTGCGAGCCAAAGAACCACTGTTGGCAGGGCTACTGTGACAAAAGGTGCTGTATAGTGCTATTTAGCACCATTTTGGTTTATGAGTGTACCATCACAACCAGTTACATTTTAAGCATTTTCATTTACAAGCAATAAATCAAAATATAGTTCGTAGCAAATCAGACAGAACACATAAAACCCATAATGTGCGATATGACAGGCGGTCATATAAACTCTGATCTTAAAGATAATAAATCAACTTTAAACTAAATAATAAACTTAAAAGACATCAACTTTATTAGGCTATTTAAACTATAACAACATGTAAAGTTTAACATCTGTACTGTATATTTATATGACATGTGCCTAAAGTCAAAATTTGTATGTGTACTTATTTACATATTTTCTTCACGCTGTGTAATGAAGTTAAAAGATCTCACCTGTGACCAGTTTGTTGGCGTCTGTTGTGCTCAAGTAAACCGAGAGACACAACAAAACAGCAATCAACGAGCAGCACACCTGAGCTTTCATCCTCGCGACCTGTGGAAAACAGTGGAAAATGTGCTGAATCGGATGGTCAGGAGGGTTTTTAAAGCGGTTAGATGCAACTCCAACCCTGAAACTCACCTGCCTGTAGGCAAGTAGCCTAAGACCCTGATTAGCTTGTTCAGGTGTGTTTAGGTGTGTTCATGGCATATCGTAATTATCGTGATTTCAAGATAACAACCTGTAAAATTCGTCATGGCCTTACAGACTTACCATTGGGCTTGACTGGGCTGCAGCCCATGGGCCCCGCCTGAACCCGTTTATGTTTGTTTGATTTCTTCAGTTATGCCGGTCAAAAATTTTAGCCGCATTTCAACTGCGCACACAAGAGAGTTAAACGGGCCAGCCGGGGTACTAGCTACTTTAAAAAGCTCTATAGCCTGAAGAGTTTTGAGTGCTCTCTCTCTTAGTGGGGCAGAAATTTCATCAAGATGATTAAAAAAAAAAAAAGCCATTTAATGAATTTCTATTTTTGTAACATATGCCTATGAAACAGGAGTCACACAAACAAGAGTCTGTTTTTCTGGGAATATCTATTGCTGTCCACCAACGTTTACCATCCAACCTGGCAGAACTGGAGAGGATCTGCAAGGAGGAATGGCAGAGGGTCCCCAAATCCAGGTGTGAAAAACTTGTTGCATCTTTCCCAAAAAGACTCATGGCTGTATTAGATCAAAAGGGTGCTTCTACTAAATACTGAGCAAAGGGTCTGAATACTTAGGACCATGTGATATTTCAGTTTTTCTTTTTTAATAAATCTGCAAAAATGTCAACAATGCTGTGTTTTTCTGTCAATATGGGGTGCTGTGTGTACATTAATGAGGAAAAAAATGAACTTAAATGATTTTCGCAAATGGCTGCAATATAACAAAGAGTGAAAAATTTAAGGGGGTCTGAATACTTTCCGTACCCACTGTAGTTCAATCCATAAAGCTATTGCTGTCTGATTTAATTTGTATATGCAGTATTTTTCTACTGTGCCTATTGAAAAGTTTGACTGTAGAATGTTTTCTAAAAAGTTCGGTATGCTATTTATTATTTATCTGTATATAATCCTGTTGAAACAAGTTGGTCTTTTGGAGGCAGGTCTTGGGTATTAGAGTCATGGACTGAAAATAGGCCCCATTCTGGCCCTGTTTCAAAGTGTAAGGTATTTTCCTGATAAAATAACTTCATAATTTCTTTATGTGCTGGAATGTCAAAATTCCTGCTTGCAAAATATTCACGTAAACAAGTTGGTTCCAGTGGTGCAATTCCTGGGGCGGGGGAAGTGAATTAAAAAAAATTGAGAAATTCCCTCTTCAGCTTAATGCTTTATTTTTGACTATACAATCTCTAATCCGTTTCTGCTGAAAGGTGGCTCAAAATACTCCAGATAGCATGAAACCATTGAAACATATGAAGTCAATGCTAATGTGTAAATGCTAATTGCACTGAATTAATGATACAAAGTGATGTAGGATCAATATCACTTTTGCACCCGCAACCAACGCTGAAACAAGGTTGTGATTTCAGAATATTTAATCAACGGCTATGATGTTCATGCTACAGCACTGTTGAATCAACATTGAAATGAACAAGAATCATCTATAATATTGTTCAGAATGAAACAATTGTAATATTGTTGGATCAATGTTACATATTGATTCTAAATCACTTTTGCTGAAACCCTGAAAATACAACTGAGATGTCAAAATAAAAGAGTGTTGACATCTGATGTACCAAGTAAATGTTGAAACAACATTAATGTGTCAACTATACTTCAATGGTACACCAAGAAATCCCTAATTCCAAAGTTTGGAGAAAGCTTTAAAAAATAAAACGAACACCTGAACACACCTTGGTAACAAACACTTGAACAGTTTGTCTTAACTTTAAAAAATAAACATTTTTTACTAAATAAACAGTTCTATGCTCTACATCGTGTGCCAAAAACGTTATAAACTGAATTTTAACATAGTAAAAAAAATAAAACAAACAAAAACATATTAATTGGTCAAAGCAAGAATGTTCTGCAGGAACACATTCAGTCTTCTGAATACAGTAACGCATTACTGTCATTTATTTTCTTTCTGTAAATGCAATGGGCTCTTTATTATAATCTCATTACAGTTTTTGCTCTCCCATGGGCACAAAACATTTTTCAATTCAAAACGTCTTTAAAAAATAAAACGAACACCTGAACACACCTTGGTAACAAACACTTGAACAGTTTGTCTTAACTTTAAAAAATAAACATTTTTTACTAAATAAACAGTTCTATGCTCTACATCGTGTGCCAAAAACGTTATAAACTGAATTTTAACATAGTAAAAAAAATAAAACAAACAAAAACATTTTAATTGGTCAAAGCAAGAATGTTCTGCAGGAACACATTCAGTCTTCTGAATACAGTAACGCATTACTGTCATTTATTTTCTTTCTGTAAATGCAATGGGCTCTTTATTATAATCTCATTACAGTTTTTGCCCTCCAATGGGCACAAAACATTTTTCAATTCAAAACGTCTGCATCCCAGGATATTGGAAAGGAAAAAGAGGAAAGGACATGACATGTGGCCAAATATGGAGTCCCATACTCAGAATTTGTGTTCCGCATTTGACCATCTAAGTGAACACACACACGGAGCAGTGGGCAGACATTTTTGCTGCGGCGCCCAGGGAGCAAGTTGGGGGTCTGTGCCTTGCTCAAGGGTACCCAGGTGAAAAAGACGTAGTATTAAATGTTGAAATTCAAGTAGTATGTTTATAATACGTTTGTATTCCCAACATGCTTATTTGAAGTGTAATAAAAATATATTGAATTACATTTTAATATGTTTCTAAAAAAGTATACTAGGAGTACTTAAAATATATGCTTAGTTATACTTCTAAGAAATATGCTAAACAGAAGCATACTTTTAATTTATTTATAAAAAGTATACTAGAAATACTTTGGTAATAAATATATGCTTAGTTATACTTCTAAGAAATATGCTAAACAGAAGCATACTTTTAATTTATTTATAAAAAGTATACTAGAAATACTTTGGTAATAAATATATGCTTAGTTACACTTTTAAGGAATATGCTAAACACATGCACACTATTAGTATATTTCTAAAAAGTGTAGTAGAAATACTATGTTAATAAATATATTTTTATTTACAATTTTAAGGGATGTACTAAACACAAGCATACTTTTAGTGACTTTTTAGTTTATTTACAGAAAACATACTTATGTTACCCTTACTTAAAGTACCAGGTACATTGTTCTCAGCGTACTGTCATTCTTAAAAAGAAAACAAATTATCAATCATCATTTGCTTTTGTGTGTGAAATATTAACATTTGTTGTTTTCCAGATCAGCTGCTATAGAAGACAAACTGAAATCTGAGTGCAGAAACAAGCAAAGGAATAGTAAGTATATTTTCATGTTGTATCACCTCTGTTATAGAGATTTTTGAATCGGGCTTAATGGAGGGTGATTTGGTCAATCTTGGAAGAAAAACGTTAGCAATGTGTCTATTCCATCTGGCTAATTTGTGCTTGCTTTCTGTCATTCGTGTAAAAATCTGTTATTTAATTTTGTTTCTGTTTTGTTTTTTTCCAAAGCTGCAAGGCTCTGGTGCCAAATATTGTATGCCAGGAGTCAGGATGACTAGGCTGTGCCCAGGTCTCCGGAACCTGCGACGACCCTCAGCTCTATCTCCATCGGTTGGCCCCCTGATGTTGGCAGCCACACCATCTACATCTTGGCTCCTCACTCC